CTCCCAACATATCCGGGTATGCACATCTTTGTTTCAAGAAGTACAGAAAACACAAAAATATGTTTCCGGATGTGTAAACAAAGACAAAATTTCTATAAAAACTTCTTCAAAAGTCAAAAAGGTCATAATATTCGGTTACTGACTTGTTCTTTTTTAATATACAAAAGAAATATTTCACAGATATATTGGCATATATTGACCTTTTTCATTTTTCTAGCTAACAACTTAATAAAAATCCATTATTACATTTTTTTAAATGTCAGTAAAGAACCAAAATTGGAATAATAAGTATTAATTTGTGTAATTAATGAACACAGATTTGAACTTCGCGCGCCCCGCACGCGCGCGCGTACAGTGGGCATGTTGTCGATGTTGAGAAATCTGCGCTGTGCGCGCAGGCGCGCGTACGTTGCTAGAGTCGAAGAAGTGGAGAAATACGATACAGGGCAAGCTGGATGATTTCTTAATAAGAAAATGTAGCGTCACAAAACAGGTAGAGCGCTTAGCCCGAGCTGCGCGCGCAAAATAGAGTCACCAAAATGCACGCTAAAATTGGCTGGATACGCAACTTTACTTTCAGGCTGGCGACCGATCTCATGAAGGCATACAACACGGTGGACGATCTAGACGGCATGCACCACGAAAGAAAATTCCCGGAACACCCTGCAACATACGCGGGCGAGGAAGCGTTTTAGTCTCAAAATTTAAAAGGCTGGCAAGCCGCTGTATAATCTACAAGAGGGCTTGCCTGGGGCGGAGACCCTCACTACGGCTGAGCACCAAGCGCCTAATTCTGTTAAGAATACCATCCAATAATAAAACATAAAATGAAAATTTATCACAACCCTGCAGACTAGCACTCAAAAATAAAAGCCGAGCGTCTGTGCAATCTCCAAACACTACGCGAACATCCTGTGGCGACCTGAAAAAGACAGTTGTACTGTTGCGCCGCTCTTCAGCATCGACGAACGAAGCGTCCTCTCAGTTTCCGCTTCGTATGTAACGTGCGAATCGCGCAGAATTGCGCCATTAGCGTGGCGCGTCGCTCAGCCTTTGTACGCCCGTTGGTTAGTTTGCATCAATACTTGGATAAAGAAACGGCTCATGTAAAAGTGAAATAAAATAATCCTTCAAGATCAAATTTGCCAAATATAAATTTACATGAACTAAACGCAGTAGTGCCTGTTAGGCAAAACATAACCAAAACGTGCAGCAACAGCAAACATAACAACACGTTTCAATACCAGTGAACCCGTAAAAAAAACCAAAAAAAAAAAAACTAAAATATGTATCACAAAACGATTCATATATTAAATCCGCAAATGGAAATTAGTGACTACATTAATATGTTAAAAATAAATCAAAAATTAAATGTAATACCACTGCAAAGCAGCAGGAGATATTTCTGAAATAGTAGTTGTAGATTAATATTACTGTGAACTTCCAGTGTAACGTACAACTATTCAATTTTTGACTCTGAGTGTACAATTCAGCGTTACTCATCATGAAATAACTGTTGGCGGATTACGCATGTTTCTGAGAAACAGTTTCTCTGCGTCATTTTGCCGAAGTACTTCGGGTGGGGCCGAAGATCGACCAGTCCCATTCAATCATTCGCCTTCTTTTCTTTGTCTGTAGATCTCCTCGTCTTGGCAGTTCAGCGTTGCCTGAATTGCTGACCTCGCGATCTGTCTTTTTCTTCAACGATCCAATGGTTGTGTTCCATATTCACGAGCAAGTATAATGGAATCAATATTTTTTGTATGCGTAGAATGACCGGCTAATAGAAGAAGTTGTTTTTGTTTGCTCTTCACTAATCGTGTATAGGCGATAAAATGTTTTAACCATTGAAGGAAAGGTTCTGAAGTTATCAATACGGTTTATGAGTATGCAAATACGTTTCCGGGTGGTCCCTGGGGCAATCGGAGTCAAAGAAAATTTAGTATTAAATGAATGGGTTCATCTGCAGATGGTTTAACGTGCTGTTTAAAGTGCACCAATCATTCAAGAAAGAGATTCTCATTAATCCAACTGTTGTCAGAGCATTTGCGCTGCTGGACCGTCTTTCTCTAGCAGAGGAGTCAACCTTTACTTCACACGAGACGAGACTGGACGAGACTATCAAAGGTATCGTCTCGGAAAAGCGATACGTGACTGAGACGATACGAGAAAAATCTCGGTATCGTGTGAAGCTCTTAAGTAGAACTCAGTTTTAGATCTTGCAGTTCAAAAAGTTTAGCTCATTTAACACTGCTAATTGTTTTCGTAAAGTAAAAAAAATACATACATAGTTTAAAAATATTAAATTTCTGATTGCATCACTTTTAATTGAAAATAATGTTATTTTTTTAAATGTTTCAAATTTTCTTTTAAACGTTAATGTATACTAGGTACAACAACGAGTTTATCTGTGTTGAAAAGTAAGCGGCGCAATGTCTACAATTCCTAACATATCCGGGTATGCAATATCTTTTGTTTCAAGAAGTACAGAAAAACACAAAAAATATGTTTCCGATGTGTAAACAAAGACAAAATTTTCATAAAACTTTCAAAAAAGTCAAAAAGGTCATGATATTCGGGTTACTGACTTGTTCTTTTTTAATATACAAAAGAAATATTTCTGCATATATTGGCATATATTGGACCTTTTCTCATTTTTCTAATAACAACTTAATAAAAAAAATTAACGAGACTCTGACTGTGGTCTCGGTATGGCTGAGAAATTGTTGAAACACGTATCGTCTCGTTCTCGTCTCGGAAAAGCGAGACGATGCGAGAAAAGTCTCGGTATCGTGTGAAGCCCTAACCTTTACCTAGCGAAAATACACATCGGTGGAATATAATTCCTGCAGCGCTCATAGCACACAGCAAAGTGATGTTTTTCCTCTTTGATGATCGATCCCCCTCTTCTGTTGAAGTTGAAGCCAGAATTTTTCCAGGTTTGAACTGGTGAAATGCCCGTTTTGTCACAATATTATAAATATTCTTTGAAACAAATCTATGACTTTCCATCAGCTGGCCAAGTGGCTCAGAGAACATGCTTATTTCGGTTTTATTAAAAGCTGTTATACTGTTTATACTGGTCTCTTCTGGTTTCTTAATAGAAATGTTATGCCTAGTCATAAATGTATGCAACCAATAGGCAAGATAACTAATTTTGAAAAACTACTCCACGATATTTTTAGGCATTTAAAATAGTCGAAATAAATTTTATTTCTGGAAAAAATTAAGGTTTTGATGGAAAATTTGACATTTTAAATAATGCAATTTAAACTTAGCGCCAAAACACTAGAATAGTAATGGCGTCTGTGTGTGACGTCACGCTTTCGTAAACACTTGACACTTGGCATGTTAATCAGTTTATTTTTCTATATTATTTAATTATTTTGAGCTATAATGATGAATTCTAACGTGTATCGATGGTGTGCGGTTCCTCAATGTAATAATACCTCGATAAAGACTCCGAATAAGTTGTTCATTAATGTTCCAATAACTAAAAAAGTGAGAAATACATGGCTAAATCTTGCAAGGCGAGACCCAGTTATTATATCGCCAAATTCAGTACTTTATTTCTGTGAAGACAGTTCTCTGGTCTCTATCTCTATTTTAGCAATAGTGTCGTTAGACAGTACTATTTTTTCTAACAATGTCTCGCATGATTTCTCCTTATATTTCAGTACAAGCTGGTGCATTGATAAACTTTGAATACTAGTACAAACATAACTAGATTGATATTTTAATATCTCACAATTATCAAGATTTCTTTTCCTTCCTATGTCCAAAAACTTATCGAGAACACAACTATTTGATGGTAGGCTAGGTGCACCTTTTGACAACTCTTTCGCTGTCATATACTTGAGGCTAGTTCCAACCTGGGACAGTTTGGATTTCTTCCAATAACATGCTACAGCGGTACAGGATGGCTCTTCACTCCTCCGGTGGGATCACATGAGGAATACTATGGAGTGCTTACACCCTCCTTTAGAAGCGACGCAATCATGATACTGTACAGACACAACAACTTCTTCTTGTTCTATTGAGACTGCGTACCACTTTGCATGTACCTTATGTTCTGGGCAAATTTTACCCTTCACTGTACAATCTTTCCCATCACGCTTAAGTTGTACATAGCTGATAGCATCATCACCATAAGATGGTCGTGAAGATCTGAAATAAACAAAAAAAAATAATAATAAATTCTTTCCCCTATACTTTGAGGTTAAGTAAATACCAATGTATTTTTGTGTAAATTAGAGTTCATTGCCATTGACATTGTATCTTAAAATGATCAAATATAAGCAATACTTACATGGAAGTTTTCACATTTCGAAATTCAGTCGAACAAAAGTCATTGTTTGATGTAAAAAACTCTCCCAACATCAACAAGTCTATTCTTGGCAAATTTGAGCTATTTGCCTTGATGAATCCTTGTTCCATTCGGATGTTATTCTTTTTAATACTTTTGGTAGCACAAAACTGATTTTATAATTCGGAAACGGAAGATTATGCTGTAAATAAAATGTCGAAAAGCGCAAAACAAGTCCACAAGTTCGAACGATTTATTTACTAATGATAAAATGACGTTTACAAAACCGTGACGTCACACGCTTCTGATTGGCGTTTCACCTAATATGGCGGATTGACTCATTTTGCACTTTTATTTTTACTAAAATCAATTTAATCGCACTTTTAATCTAAAGGAAGAGTTTTTTAGAATCTCACTACTGTATATTTTTAATATAAATCTTCTTTTTAGTGATTCTTTGTTACTGTCATCATGCCTATTCCGCCCAGCCATTTTGTTGGACTGATAAAATTTGTGCTTTAACCCTTTGACGAAATTCTGTGTAGTTCTGTTTTTTTCGGTAATTTTATTGAACAGAATATAGGGAAGGTAGCATTTTTTTTAAAACACATTAAAGGGGTAAAAAATTGAGGTGAAAAAAACGTGAAATCGGTTCAATTTTGGAAACCGGTTTCCTTATTTGGACCGCTAGTCTCCTAAATTAGACCATTAGCTTTTTTATTTGCAATTGCAACAAAAATATCTTTTAGCTGCAGCACTAACTCCAGCGCATTGCGTATGTATCCAAACGTGACATTTCATGCATCGTATCATTTCCTCTTCTTTGACTTCTTCACACAATACACAGAACCATGAATCAGCAGTTTGCTTTTTACCTTGCTGTACTTTGTTAAACTTTGGGGACTTTATTTTTTAATTTTCTTTATGTTCTCTTCTAACTGCGATTTGTAAGGGCTACTTGTAATTTCTACTGCTTTCTGGGCCTTTGGTGCACAGCGAGAAGTCGAAGGACCATTTGGATTTGGATGTTTCTTGGCCCGCGGTGATACTTCTTCAAGAACTCTCTTAAATCTCTTAATTCCATCATCACTTCTATCTTCATTATCCGTGTCACTGCTAGAAATTGTAGCAGGGCTTTCAGAAGGCTGCAAAACATCAGCTGCTGCAAATAGGTCATCTGTAAATACATGCCTATTCACCGGCCAAATTCCGGAAGCACGGAAGGCACTCTCTGCAATTGCCACAGTGGCCGCTCTGCCATATGCCTCATTAAGTAATTTGGACATTTGAGTTTGATAAATCTTATCACCTTTATATTGCCGCAGAAATGTTTCTTGAGCTTGTGTAAAATAAGTCTGTAGAGGACCGAAAAAGGCTACATCCAATGGCTGTAAACGGTGGGTAGTGTGGCCAGGCAGTTGAAGCAAAACAATTCCATTACTCCTAGCTCAAACTCACAAGCCTGAAAATTTTTGCTGTGTGTAGTATGGCCGTCAAGCAATAGGAGAACTTTTTTTGCTTCACTGCAGTTTATTTGCATTTGAAAATGTTTTAGCCAATCAAGAAAGAGATCTGAGTTAATATATCCTGTGTCCGATATCGTGACTATACTGGCGGGGGGTGCTCCAATTTCGAGATCAGGGTGAAGCCTTTTCCGTTTAAAAATTATCATTGGTGGAATATAGAGACCAGCAGCATTAACTGCACATACCATGGTTGTATTCACGCCACGTTCACCACTTGTTACACTTCCCACCTGCTGCTTTCCTTTACGAGCAAGTACTTTGGGGAGACTCTTCTGCACAGTGGTAAACCCAGATTCGTCCACGTTAAAAATACTATCGGCTCTAAATTTATACTTTTCGATAATTTGTTCCAATAAATCAAAAAAATGATTCACATTCTCCCTATTAAAGCCTCTGGCTCTTGCCATTGAGGTTCCTTCGGGTTTCCGGAGCGAAAGATGCGAATTTCGTTTCATAAATGCATAAAACCATTTTTTACCAGCCATTTTTGTATCTCTATTAAAATTATGTGGTAAATCATATTTTTCGGCAACATCGAAGGCTAGCTTTCTGACTTCCCTAATTGTTAAACCAAAAAAACATTCTTCAAGATGAAGGATGTGTTCAGAAAGAATCCTTTCCATATCGTTACAAAATATTGCCGGTCTACCCAATGTTTTAATATTGTCCGGATCGGTGTTATCAACATATCTCTTAATAGTTGCCTTGGGAACGCCATACACACGACTACTTTCGTTCAAGCCATAATCGCCATTTTTGTATGCGGCAACAGCAAGCCATAAATCATTTTCAGACCATACTCTATAGCTTCTTTGTTTAGGCATTTTTACCCTATTAAAAATGTAAATATTTAATTAACTCAATTTGAAGTCGAGGTGGTGTAATCAGACATAAAAGAACTGTTGTTGCCGAAATTGGACTGGTCCAATTTCAGCAACTACTTTTGGTCCAACTTAGGAAACTTGAATATTTAATGCTTAATATTGCACAACAACGAAAAGCTAATATAACCTCATAAAATCGTTACTGCTAATTATAGATAAATAACTAAGCTTTATGATGATATAATAACAATTGCAATTACTTACGTTTAGACCAATTAATGGCTTTCACTCTAACGTCGAAATAATAGATTTTCGTCTTCGTAAAACAAAAAATAATTAACACAACGTAATCACGAAACGTGTTCTCGCGAATAACACAGCGTTGAGCACGTTTTCTCATAAGGAAATGAAGTTGCCTATAAAAGACTGCAAAAATTTCATAAAACTGTGAATTCCATGGCGGTCCAAATTACGCTACTCTCCCCTACGTGTGGAATAGTGCCATGTCAAACATGTAAAAGAACATTTTTCTGTATCCTTTCACGTACTTCCGCATGATTGGAAAGCAAGCCAACATTTGATCTTGCCGATCAATACCAATCATGCCTTTGTTATAATCTATAATACATAGCGGTTTTGAATTTTGGCTCTTCTTGTTCTTGCATCATTTCGACAGATGTGTGCTTCGTAGATGAAATGTGCACATCGCGCTTATCTTTCCATTTAAGAGCGAAAATGCCATTGCAACTTCTTAATCGGTATTTGCCTTTTTTTTAAATTTTGCTTTAGCAAAAATTGTTGGCATATTGGTTCTGTTCATTCGAACGGTTAAAACAGCTTGCGTTTTTTGTTCCGTTAAATTTAAGAATAATTTGGGCGACGAATATCAATTATTCAAATAGAGAGTATGTCCTTTGCTCAAAATTGGTTTTGATAACTCTGTGGGATCGGTGAGTGGTTAGATATTTGAGAGTATTTATTTAATGCAACGACACTTGGTTTATTTCACGATGTATGATATGTAAGTTTATTAAGAAGTCTTGTAGAGAAGTGTAAAAGTACGTATGCATGAAGAGAAGTGTAAAGTAAGAAGTGTAGTGAAGAACTGTGTGGAATAACTGAACTTTCCTTTACACCTCTTTGTCATCACTACCAGCAACCCCTCTGTGTTGATGGGTGGTGACAAGAAATTTAAAGCCGTGAAGAAAAGCGAGGTAGGACGGATTGGCAGGAAGAAAGTGTGAGATATTTAATATAAGCTGACCATTGATTCTGCTGGGGAATCCGAGCTGATCATATGCTAATGACCAAAGTAATGTTAGGATACAGCGTGCCAAACCGTCCGACTCTGGGATTAGGCCTCTTTTTCAGGGTATTAAAGACATTAGGGAATTTTGGGAATTTTAGATGAAGAATTATGGCATGCAATTATAGATAAGAAAGTTATAGAGTGCATGCAATATAGATGAAGAAAGTTATAGAGTTTGGAAATATAGAAATAAGCGTTGGGTAAAGATCCCCACAACTCCATCACAATCATTTCCGATACACCAAAATGAATTCGTCTTTTTTTGTAGCTGTAACCAGACCCAGACTCACATAGTTGGTAGAACTTGATGCCATACATTGCGCGTTTGGATGGATTGTATTGTGTGTATGACAATCGTCCTTTAAATTTCATTAAAGTATCTTAAGATGGTTCTTATGGCAACCTTTCATTTATTGTCGAGTAGCTGGTACTCTTTTATCTTTTATTGCGGTGTGTTGTTGTGGTGATGAAATGTGCATGTGAATAAATGTGAATGGATATTCTTTAGCTTAGTTGCCGCATTCTGGCGGCAATGCGTCGGATGTACTCTTTGCCTGTGTTTTCCATCTTTTCGATCATGGTTACTCTGTTGGATTTAGCTGTTTCTGGTGATCGAGATTTCGGAGGACCTTAGTAGGTCTTTGCGCCTCGCACAGTATGGCAGTTCTGTAACGTCTTCCTGCATTACTTCGTCTGAGTATCTGCTGTGCAGGGTTTCTTTTTGCCCCAGTGTGCGTCTTCGCGCCGACTTCACTGCCATATTACAAGCAGCGCCAAGCGTAAACTGAAATTTTCGTCCGTGCACTTAGCGCAGTTGAGTGCCAGATAGAGTTAAGTTGAAATGAGGTTCTACAACGCACTCGCGTTCTTCGCAGCGCATCCCATTTTCTGTTCCTATTGAATCTTGCCTAGGTTAGACGGTTATTGTGTCTTTATGGGAATAAATTTCTGTCAAACTGGACTCGACAATATTACGAGTATACCGTGAGTTTTTTCCCGATGGCGAGAATTTCCGTCTTTTTATGATTGATTGAAAGTCGGTTTTGTTTACAGTATGTGTCAAATCTTGCCAGTGAATTCTCCATATTCCTCTCGGTTTCGCTCCATGTTTTCGCGAGTACCACAATCGCTGTGTCGTCTGCGAATTGAAGTATTTTTGCCTTTGCGCCCTTTTCCATCTACGTTGGCATTGTGGACTTTGCGTTACCTTTAATCGACACAAATTGTCGTTGGAATAGTATGTTTTTCAGAATGTTTATTAAGTCGCTCGTGAATTTTTGTCTTATCATCTTGTTTCACACTGTGTTTCTGCAAATAGTGTCGTATGCCTTTTCTAGGTCTATAAATGCTACAAGCATCTTCATACTTAAGGCATCTGCTTCCCTACATAAGGTTGCCAGGGGCGCCGCTTGTTAACTGAGGATGCGGCCTTCATAAATCCGAATTGAGCAGCATGCACTGCTGCGTTTTTTCGATATACCGCTCCAAAGTTGGGATTAATAGCTTTTCGTACAGGCGTGACAGGATCGGAGTAACACTGATGGGTCTAGTGTTACCGATTTTTGTTGGATTTTTGTCTTTCTTGAGATTGATGATACTCTCGCAGTCTTCCATGCTTCACCTTTGTTAATGTCTTTGAATATGTTGGTCAAGCTTATAATCGCTCTCTCTGGGACCAATTTGATTGCCCTTGGTGGGAGATTGTCCAGTCCTGGGGCTTTTCTGGTGTTCATTGCCTTTATTGCCAATTTCACTTCATCTAGCGAGAAGACAATTGGTTCGCTTGGCTGCGCATTTGGAATGATTGGGTCCCCAGAAAGTGCGGTGCCCGGTTGCTTATTTGTGAACTGGTTTGTCAGGAATTCTGCCGCAATGTTAGCTTTTTCCGCGTTTTCTAAATGTAGTATTCCATGTGGGTCTTCTAGGGGCGCGTTTGGAGCGGCTCTCACTCTCAGCCGCTTGACGATCGGCCACAGAGAGCATCTCTCCTCGCAGTCCTGTAGCGTGCCTTCCCACGAGCGGCTTGCGCGAGATTTGAGCATGTCTTGGACGTTGTTCAGCAGCTGGTGGTACGAGTTTTTATCTTCGGGTCGACCGGAGCGTCTCCATTTGGTTTTTGCAGCGTTTTTACGCCGTACCAATTCTCTTTCTTTTGAGCCAAGACCAAGCGGATTTGTCATGGTTTCACTTTGTACCGTTGAAACAGTCTGTAGTGTTGTTTGGATGTATTTGGTGAGATGTGATAGCTCATCCTTGGCGTCATTGTGTTGTCCTTCCCGGAAACCAGTCATGCGGTAGGCGAATCTTGGTCAGTTGGTGTAGATTTTGTCCCGTCGTGACAAGTGTGACGGGTACATGGCCAAGTTTGCAGTACCTGAAAGTGGTCGGACGATAAGACGTGTCTTGCAATTGGCTTCGACATATGGATGCGTTTGGTTATAAAAAAGTCGGGACCACCTCCTCTGTGAGTTCCTCCGCGCATGGTTGTCGGGTCTTCTGGGAAACGTGCGGTTGCCTTAGACTGTGTGATAATCTTAGCATAGCTCCTTGCCTCTGTTTAGTGGTTATTCGGCTCCCACTGGAGTGACTTTTAGCGTTTAAATCGCCTCGCTACAAGATTTTCATGTCTCCCTATTTCTTCAGAATGTTGACTATATTGCCCGACAGGCAGTTTCTGTTAGGTGCTTGATTCAACGAAAATATGTGCACTGGGTGCGGGCCAATTCGCGTAATGATTCCCATAACCTCCGATAGATCGTCAGTCGATATGTCGTTCAGCCTCAAGTGTAAAGTGATGCAGGGCGTATTGCGGATTAGTACCTACCGCCTCTTCTACCGCCAGGCCGTCTCTTGCTGCCCGATCTCAACCTCTCCAATCCGAAGTCGTCCGAGGGGTGCAAGTGGGTTTCCTGAGTACATAATCGGTAATATCCTGGTCGCGTGTAAACACTTCGAGTTCTAACTTGTGTCTCAAAATCTCCATTTGCATTCCAACTGCAGATGTTTAGATTTGTGCGGCGCTTATTTGGCATTGCGTTGATTTAACATTCTGTTTAGAATTTTCTCAATTGTAGCTTCTAGTGGCACTGGTTTCATTGTTTGTGGCTGACTAATTGCTTTACTAGGTTGCTGTTTTGCGGTCCATTGCACCAGCAAACGTGTCACAATTTCTTCTATTTTGGTTTCCAGGTTCGTGTTGTCGTTTGAAGTAGCGTAGGATCGGCCCTCTTGGACTTTGCTCTGCTCCAGCAGGGTCTCGTCTTTTCTCCTTTGGCCTCCCTAACATTCTTTACGCATTTTGGGTTGTCTGATCGCTGGTTTTGTGCACTCAAATGTTTGGTGGTTCAACGCACATTTAAGGCATCTAGGATCCAGCTGGCATCGGTAACTAACATGCCCCCACCGTTGGCACCGAAAACATTGCCGGTGGTCGGGGCTTTTCCGCTTGGCTTCTACTTTAACCTGCAGGTGATTTATATGCCGTAGGTTATATATGTCCAGGACCTTTTGGTTTTTTGTCGCGTTTATTGTTATCATCGGTAGTTCGCCCTTGCTTTTTGTTGTCATCCGTGCCACTTTGGTGATCGGGAAGCCTCGTAGTCGGAGATCTTCTTCAATGGATTCGATCGACATCTTTGTTGACACATTCCTGACCACGAAACGCAGCTCTTTTTCCTCATCCAGCTGCCAGTTTACGTATTTTATTTTTGCCGCTGTGCAAAACCCGCATCAATTTTCGTAATCGTCCGGGGTATTTGTGTATACTTCGAATCCTTTGGCCGGCTTCCTGGATTGGTTTCCCCGCATTGCGATCTGTTTCTGTCCATAAGTTTGCGATAAAAAGTGGATCATAGTCCTTGTCAAATAGTAATTACCGGTGGAAACTTCGCTATAGGTTTAACCAAGGTAGATGCTGTTGCTATACTTCTTGTTCCGATACGACAACCTGTTCACGTCCTGGAGCATATATATAACGTCTTAGTTAATTTTTCATCAAATACTGTTGAACAACTGTAGGTCCCGTGTATGTAAATAAATTTATTCTTCTCTTTACTGTACCGCAAATTATATAGTATGCTACTGAA